CGGGGGGGGGGGGCCCCTGCCTGTGGCCCCGCAGTCAGCGGAGCCTGTCTGGGGAGAGCCGGCCCGAGCCGGGGCCCCCAAGGCGCAGCGAAATCAGTTTGTGTTTTTAAATCCGCTTCTGCCTCTTCCTTCTGATATTTTTGCTTTATCATTAATGGTGGCAACTAGTAACTCCAGGAAAGTGACAGCTGGTTAAAAATCGCCCTGGACTTCTCTTGGGGTGCCACTGGCATTTCATGGAGGCCAGGAGTAATGAGTCCGGCCCGAGCCGGGGCCCCCAAGGCGCAGCGAAATCAGTTTGTGTTTTTAAATCCGCTTCTGCCTCTTCCTTCTGATATTTTTGCTTTATCATTAATGGTGGCAACTAGTAACTCCAGGAAAGTGACAGCTGGTTAAAAATCGCCCTGGACTTCTCTTGGGGTGCCACTGGCATTTCATGGAGGCCAGGAGTAATGAGTGTATTTAATAACCCTTCTGAAAACAGGGTCAACCTGAAGCTCTCATGGCATGGGGAGAGGGCTCATTTTTAGTAGATTGGGCAAGGGGGCCTGCAAACAGGGTTCTCACCAGTCAGGTGTAAACTCTGTCCTGTTGGGATGCTTACAAGCACTGAGATACAGACTAAGAGTCCTGCAGTTTTAATGGTGTGTAGGGGATATGCCTCATGGGAAAGTAAAAAATGATCAGAGTATTTTTCTGTAAAATCAGTGAGGGGTCCTGTGACACCTAAAGACGAACACATTTATTTGGGGTTAAGCTTTCATGGGCTGGAGCCCACTTCGTCAGATGCATCAGTATTTTTCTGTATGTCATAGGTGTAAAATATTCTAAATCCAAAAGAGTGGCAAGGTTTTAAATTTTCCTGGGGGTGCTAAAAATCTCTTGATTTCTTGACAGTGTAGTACATGTATTTAATGATGTAAAGTGCTTTTAATTCATGGAATGAGGGACTGTGTAAGTACAAAGTACAGTTAATAGATATTCTTTGCCCAGTGCTATTAAACTGGTTTATAACTTTCCCATTCCCTAATGGATATTGATTGCTGCTTGTTTTACTCCTGTGTGAATTTTAACACTTCACATTTTCAAGCTGCCCATTCGCATGATGGCATATGCAAACTCTGGGTTTGTGATGGTTTGTAGATAACTTTAAAAACCCACTTCTAAATTCACAGTTTATGTAGTGCATGGAAAGGTGATTGTATGGGGAAATAGGGTGATTTTTTTAACTTAATTCATTAGGTAGGCTCTTTAGCCCAATTTCTCCTACATGGGGGAGAGATTTTTGAGCAAATGCCTTTTATCTAGGGATCTAAACACACTTTACAAAATTGTAAGCTTCACAATTCCTGTATGAAATAGATAAGAATTATCCCCCTTTGTTAGAAGAGGGGGAAATAAAGCCCAGAGGTTAAGTGATGCTACAGGACCATTGTTGTTTTTAAGTCTTTTTTTAATTACAGGCTAACATGACTGCCCCTCTTGAGACTTTTTGTAGATCTGGAAAGCTGTGCCTCCCAGTGCCTGTACCTGCTGACTGTTGACTAAAGTGCAAACCTGCGCTTGTTCTCCCTCAAATAATCCTGGGAACTTCCCTGGCGCTTTTGTGAGGCAGTCAAGTTTTGTGCACAGATGTGATGCTGGAATACTTCAACAACAGCCCCATGCATCAAATATTTTCTAACTATTTATAAAATAGAAACGTACCTTGTATTCTGCAATGGAATCTCAACATCCTGACACAGCCCTTTAAAGCTCTCTAAAAGCAACAAAACTTTAATACCTCCAAACCAGATCCGTGCATCATATTGTGACTAGAGAATAGAATGTTCTGTAATGCCTGATGCGGCACAAGGTGTAGATGTGTAAGGAAGAATGAAGGGAAGCCAAACATTAGTTCTGAAATGCTTTTATGTGCAACTGCAAGCGAAAAGTGGCTGCAAAGTGTAAGACTCGCATAGGTAGGTAGCTTAGCTGTACTGTTGCCAGCTCTGATGCCAAGTGACCTGTCTCAATGAGAAATTATATTTAATAGTCCTTGAAACCCACAATAGCAGCCCTTGTTCCTCTGATATATGACACACAGAGTCTCCTGGATCAATTTTGAACCTCTTTCTGTAGCTCTGGCTTCTGAAGGGAAGGAATGTGGGAGAACTCAGTGCTGCTTCCACTTGACTCTCTAGTAAACAGACCCTGCTGTCTGTGTAGGTGGAAGTGGACAGGTGTTTGAGATTTCAAGGACACCTACAGTTCAACACTTCATGGGCCTAGTCGGTGTGCTTGTTCCCAGGTGCTTGCAATCACAGGAAGGTAGTGCTTGCTGGATTTCTTGAGTCAGGACAGCCAATGGATGCCAGTTTTATTTTAAAAAAGTCTGATGTGTGCACATTTGATGTACTTGCTTGGTGGTTCAACTTTTCACCCTAATTTAATTAAAATACCTTCCTACTGCAGTTTTGTCATGTATGAAGGGGCTCTTTCAAAGCTATTGGTTGTTTTTTAATTAACACATCCATTTCCAATTCATCAACGCTATGTGTTTGAACCCAGGGGTCCTGCGTGCAGTGGTTGAAGCAACTAAATCTGGAGGCTCTGTTCTCAGCCTGTGTGAGAAGGGGGATGCCATGATCATGGAAGAGACTGGCAAAATCTTCAAGAAGGAGAAAGAAATGAAAAAAGGTAAAGTACAGTTTCAAGGGTTCCTTTTTCAACGCTGGGCTCTTTTTCCTTTTCTGTTTGTTTACATGACACCATGCAGTGAAAATACTGAGATGCATAATGAAGATTGCTTTCTGAGAGCTGAAGTAATTATGCTTATTACTGCCACAGCCCTCCCCAAATTCAAATATTCTGCTAAGGAACAGTCTACAGCAGCTACCATGCAGCACTGGTTAGTTTGAGTTTCATGCTTGAATTAACTACACCAATTCAGACAATCTAGATTTGTTTTGGAAACAAATATCCTGTCTCTAATAAGACCCACTCTACTTCCTAGTCTAGTAATTTTCACAAGATTTCCGTGGCTGCATAAAGAGCCATGGTGAGCTTCATGGTTCTGGGGCCTGGGTACTTGAAGTATCTGTCTCTTCAGAGAGAGATGATTGATTTGGATGAGGTTTGTCCATATTTGTCTGCCTAGGCTGGAGTTGGTCTGATGCTGAGAGACGCAACAGATGTTTCTTCTGGTTTTTGGCCAAAGAGCACAAAACAATGCCTAAAAAAATCATTGTCAAGTACCAAGGGCTAATATTGTATGCCATTCAGCAGTCCTTCTCAGTCTCCTCAGCTGGCAGGCTTAGATTTGCCCCCAAATATAAGCCAACTAGTCGTTGGCAGAGTTGAGGTAAGAATTTTGAAATTTGTGGTTTCCTTACTTGTGCTTGGACCCTCAACTTTATTACCTTGTGGTCTCAATTGATATGTTGTCTCCTCACTTGTATGCAGGGCTGGCCTGAGCCATTTTGGCGCCCCGGGGCGCACGGCTCTGCCTCCAGGCGCACAGCACACGTGTGGGCCCGCCCCTAGGACGTGCGGCCCCGCCTCCGGGCGCACGACGCATGCACGGGCCCGCCCATGGGGCGCGTGGGTGGATGCATGGCGCATGCGCTGCCCAGTCGGCCCGGCCACCGCCGATGGCGCGCAGCCTGGGGCCGCCCAGGGCGGGCTGCACCTGGTCGTGCAGGGCCCTGCGGCCGCAGGGGGAAGGGCGCTACTGGCCAGTGCTGCGGTGGTTAACATGGCCTCTGCCCCGGGTGGCCACTGCAGCCCACCGGGAGCCGGGCGCCCCCTGAAGGTTGGTGCCCTGGGCAGCTGCCCAGCTAGCCCACCACTTAGTCCAGCCCTGCTTGTATGTCATGAGAACTGCTGACCTCTTTAGTTTTGCAGTTTCACTTGCTCCAAATCAGCAGAGTACTACTCTTGAGAGCACTCTATTTGTTCTAATGTATTCCTTGTCTCCCCATTCACGTATCATGTAAGCAATTAAAGCATCAATTAGGGACAGTTTAAAAACAATTGATCAAGAGACGGGTTCGTCTAGAGCTGACTTGTTTTACTCAAGTTCAAGTTAGATGCCTGAGTTTATAGTAATCAAATGCTGATTTTGCCTAGTGGCTTTCTCCCTGAAAGACTCCAGAGAGTTTAGTGTATATGCAGGCTAAATGAATTTCACAAATATCTGTCACTTCTAGACGTCGATGTGTGCCCTGTTGTCAAGTTTTGACAGGAGGTAAAACCAAATATTCAAGAGAGCTGCAAGGGGGAGTTCTAGTTATTCCAAATATAATTTGTTGGGTTGGATCTTTAATGACTGCAAGTGATCAGGGCAATGATTTTGCATCTCATCTGAAAGATGGCACCTCCAGCAGTACTATGATCCCTAGCAGTAATGCTCTTGTGTAATGCATTACAGTGTAAGAATTCCTTGCCCCTTGATCTCTTTGGGCACAGACGGGCACAGCTTAGCTTGAGTGAGCTGAGGTGGTGCAGCTCTTGTATATTTCCTTAGGTGCAACAGACAAACCAGACTCATGCGCAGCAATTTGAGGCTTTGAATCACATGTGCATTTGGACCCAAGTCCAGATAGTTTGTTTTCTGTGATGGAACATGGGTTGCTGCCCGCTTTGAGGCCCTGTAGCGGTCTGGCAGCAGGGTCAATAGCTCTGCATTGTGCACAGATTTCAGGCACAGGCGGGATCTCACCAGTATTCCATTTGTTCATAGGTATTGCCTTCCCGACGAGTATATCGGTTAATAACTGTGTCTGTCACTTCTCCCCCTTGAAGAGTGACCAGGATTATATCCTCAAAGACGGAGACTTGGTCAAGATGTAAGTCTCTGAGCTATGTTTCTTGTGAGTTAAATGTTGGCGTCTGGCCTCTGCTGCTTCCATTTAAAACTGGCTAACTTTAGGAAGTATTGGCGAGGCAAGTGATGCATTTGAAACATACTCTGTTCCTCTCATGTGTCGAGAGGTTATACAGAAGTGTCCTGAGCCACAAGGCCCTGCCTGCAACTTAATCCTGTTTTTTCTCTTTGTATCAGTGACCTGGGAGTCCATGTGGATGGTTTCATAGCGAATGTAGCGCACAGTTTTATCGTCAATGCAGCAAAGGTAGGTTTCTTGCATGTGGCTTGAACGGAGATCTCTCCCACGCCACTTTCAGATCAGGCGAGGTTCAGCAAAGGCAGGATATAAAAGCCCATGCTTGAGTGCCCCTGGTTGCAGAGAGCACCTGATGTTGGCAGCAGAGCAGAAGTCTGCACTGCTGAGTTTGGAGGAACATTAACAGAAACTGTGTTTAAAGACAACCACCAATCACCTAGTAAAACGTGGGATGCTGAACTGTTTGAACAGGGGAAACAAATCAACTACTAGCTGAGCTGCTCTGTGATGAAAGTCTGAGGGGACGGGTATCCTGGGTGCTTGGAGCAGACCTGTCAAACTGGGCTTGCTGTACCCTGCTGGCAAAGGAAGAGAACCATGTTCCTTCTGCTACCCCAGGAAGTTGCTGTGTTCACCTTTGCAGCTCTGAGCTCAGGTGATGTGTACAGCAAGTTAGACTGGCCTCAAGACCCAGACTGCACTACACGCTTCTCCTGCCTGAACTTGCAGCAGACTGGCTTGCAAGTGTCTGTATGTAAGCCGGGGCACTGTGATGTGTATAGACCTGGGGTGTGTTTGGAGCTTACGAAATGTAGCACAGCCCATCTGTCATGGCGTTGGGAAGTCACCTACGCAAATTGCTTTCAAGAGACTTGCCACCTAGGGAAAACTCTACAAATTGAATACACTTGTCATGTAAACAGAATTTTAAACTTGCTTTTTTTTACCTGTAGCCTTTGGAGGAGGCTGTTTTGAATCCTGGGGGCAGCCGTTCTCACATGAACATGTTGCACTTGTCAGAAGAGCTAGACAATAGAAAAGAAAGCTGGAAAAGAGCCCTGAGAGCTCGCTGAGTCCATATCCCTGCCTGCTAAACAACATTTTCTAGGGCTTTGTTCTGCGTGGTTCTGGCAGACACAGACAGTGTTCCTGCCTGTAACTCTTCTGTTTACATTTCAGTTTTTAAATGTATTTCATTTGCAACTGTCAGGGGCTGGCCCCTGTGAGACAGAGCAGAGATGACTGAGTAGGCTTGGAAGTTTGAACTCCTCTATCCTCTGCTCTGTTCCATGCTTAGCTTGGGGTTCAAGGGCGCCCTGCCCTGCTACGGGTGGGGGATTTCAGTATTGGGGTCAGGCTAGGAGCTCCCACTAACACAGAGTTCATCCTAGAAAGGGGAGAAAATACACATTTCAAAAGCAGCCAACTTTTTCCAGGAAACCCCAGTGACGGGTCGTAAAGCTGATGTCGTCAAGGCGGCTCACCTCTGTGCTGAAGCTGCCCTGCGCTTGGTAAAACCCGGAAACCAGGTGAGAATGGATTGATGTATCTAGGGGCCTAAGAATGCAACACAGACCCTGTGGCCGTATACGTGTAGAACTAGAAAACCATGCCCTCTGGCGGGGTGGAAAGCTGGCGAGGTGAGCACTGGGGCCATGCAGAGTGCGCTGCTGTGGCTTTAATGCTGGACGCAGTGTTCGCTGTATTGGAGCTTTGCTTAGGAACAAGCTGTCATTACACAAGGACTTGGAATCTGCGTTCACTATGAGCTGCGCCTATAGGGCTGCTCAAGAAAAATTCAAATGCTGCCCATTTGATTAGCAGAGCACCCAGTTATTTTTTTTTTAACAGTGGTGCACATTTGCACATGCCTTGGTGCACGTAATTCAGCAGATGGATGGAAAAAATCCACATATGGATGGAAAAGATTAGAGGGAACATTGCTTGGTATTGCTGCATGTTGTCCCTTTAAACGCAGCTCAGCGCTCTTAGCTCTTTTTTTTTTTTTTTTAAGTGTTAAAAGTCACTGGCAGCTGATCACATGGTCACATGCCTTTCGGGAAGGAACAGATAAACCTTGTTTCACAGGGTTGGTGGCTTTCTTTTCAGTTTGAGGCATGGTAAGCAAGAGAGCCGGAGGGAGTGATTAGTGACCTGCATCTTGGTAGGTTTTGCAGATATGTTGGACGTACAGAGGTTTCACTCTACAATCAGGCCTGAAACCCGAGGTATCCAAGGAATAGCCTGGCTTCTGCAGTTCTCCTTCACAGGGGTTGCATCTTGGAATTCACTCCTGGGGCGGCCCAGTGTCTGAGGTCAATGGGCATGCCTTGCTATGTTTTAATCTCAGTAGAAAGGCTGTGTTTATCCAGTAAGAAACTGTTACTTTCCATCAAACTGAGGAGAAGAACTTGTAGATGGCAAAAGACCTAGGTCAGATCTAGCCCATCCAATCTCTGGGCACTGTTGTCCTTTGCATATTTATTTTTATGACACAGCGCTTGGGAGCACTGAACATAGACCCAGACCTAATGCTTGGTGCTGTACAAATGGAACAAAAAAGTGGTCCCTGCCCCAGGGGGCTTGCCGTTTAAATACAAGAGCTATGGGGTTTGCTCTTGGTTTATAGATCTCACATTGGGAATGTTCCCTCATTCAGCGTAAATTTCTCTTTCTTGATTTTCTGGCTATTCCTCATAACCAGGGCTTGACAAACGACGGCAAAACCTACTTGCCAGCCCCACATTGCGCATGCGCAAGACCCGCATTGTGCATGCACCCCACCGATGACCGGGGTGACCAGCTGAAATCTACTTGCCACAGGCGAGTAGATTCAGTGATTTGTCGAGCTCTGCTCATAACCATCCTCCCTTGGGGCCCTAAACCACACCTCTGTCCTTGGGTTCACACTTGTCAAACACTGTTGACTTTTTCCTTTTGTTCATTTGTCCACATCCCCCAGGTTTGACCTGTGGAAAATGAATTAATCAAAAAAGCAAACCTCATTCTGGGCCCTGTTAGCAAAGTGTTGTAAACAAGACATAAGTAATTCTACTCTACTCTGCACTGATTAGGCCTCAAGTGGAGTTCTGTGTCCAGTTCTGGGCACCACATTTCAGGAAAGATGTGGACAAATAAGAGAAAGTCCAGAGAAGAGCAATAAAAAAGATTAAAGATCTAGACAACATGACCAATGAGCAGTGTTCCCTCTAAGATTTTCCAACCATGAGCAGAGTGAGTTTTGGCTTGTGTACCAATATTGAGGTCATGTGCACTTGTTTGGATGTGTGCCACGGTGGCACACCCAATTTATTAGCACATGCATGTTCCTGACTGCTGGAGCAGAAACACCACCACCATGCGGCAGGTCCCGTTCCCGGCCCGGCCCCACCGCTACATGGCAGCCCTGGCCCCCTGCCCTAGCCGTTCCCCCATCACACCATCTCAGCGAGTCCCTCCCACCTGAGCAGCTGCCTGCCATGCGGCTCTCCAGAAAAGGTGGGTGGGGGAAGAATTTTTTTGTGCGCTGCCATGCAGGCGTGCACCTTAGTGGGAACTGTGACTCTGAGGGACGATTGAAACCATTGGGATTGTTTGTTTGGAAAAGAGAAGACTGAGAGGACATAACTTTCAAGTACAGGCAGTCCCCGGGTTACGTACAAGATAGGGACTGTAGGTTTGTTCTTAAGTTGAATTTGTATGTAAGTCGGAATTTGTATTGTACCCCAGGTGTCCCCGATTCAGCCGCTGCTGAAACTGTGACTCTGAGGGACGATTGAAACCATTGGGATTGTTTGTTTGGAAAAGAGAAGACTGAGAGGACATAACTTTCAAGTACAGGCAGTCCCCGGGTTACGTACAAGATAGGGACTGTAGGTTTGTTCTTAAGTTGAATTTGTATGTAAGTCGGAATTTGTATTGTACCCCAGGTGTCCCCGATTCAGCCGCTGCTGAAACTGACCAG